ACCTTCTCCATCATCAACAGTTTGGTATGCCTTTATGTGTTTCCTTCAGGAAAGGGGGACCAAAGAGTGCATAGTAAAGTAGGGACTTCCTTGGAATTATCCATTGTCCCTTTTCCTCAAAGGTTATAGTCATTAAATTGTATCATCAGAGTTAGATAGTTGTTGAAGATCAAGAAAAAAAATTTAAAAAAAAAATTAGATAGCTCTAGAAATTATGAAAGAATATTAAGTCAAGTAATAGTATGGAAATGGCACTATTTGACAGCATAGAGTAGGTTGAAACTTTAAAGGCATTTATGTGACATGAGTTTTCATAGTACTGATGCTCATGTGGTTGGGACCATGAGAGAATTTTCGGTGTGTCCTATATGCCACGCGACAGTGTCATATATGGTGTGCATATTCAATAAAAAATTATTACAAAAATAATTTGTGAGACACACAAGTTGAGTTTTTTAAAAAAAATTTTTTTGAGAAGATGATAAGCGACAGTTATTCATTGGTTATGTATAATTTTTATTGTGATGTACATCATATGACACTGTCATATGGTGTGTTAAATCTACTGAAAAAAATTTCGGTGGGTAAATATAAATAACATTTCTATAGATTGACATAATTGAAAGAATATCCCCAGAATTTTTTGAAATATTTGTGTACTTCTGATATTTGATGGGAGTCACGAGACAATTGTGAATTCTAATATTTAATGAAATCCACTTATAATCCAATTAGTTATAAATAGCATTTTCCTAAAATGACCAAAAAAAAATGTCACTCTTTTGATAGCGGACATATTTGTAAAAGACCACCTTACTTGTTATCCAATCATTCTAATGGGAAAGTTTACGGTACTGAAAATAATTTTTTTGACGATTTATTGTCAATTATCACTTTTTTATGATAAAATTACACTTTTAAAAGGAAAAATTATAATTGTTTAAGAAAAGTTTATGATCGATCATAATATCCACCCTTTTGAGTTATAGCTTGACCTCTAAAAAATATAACTTAACCTTTAAAAGTTATAATTTTAGTATTGATCACAATCTTTCATACTCGATCAAGATCTTTACAAATTGTAACTTTCATATCAAAAAAATTATAACTTAATTTTAGAAAGTTATAAATTTTAGTACCGGTTCGGTGGTGTTTTCCAATTCTAATAGGCGATGTAAGTGTTAAAAAAGTAAAAGAGACGTTCCCGTAAATTTATTAATGGACAGATGAAGTCATTGATATTTACCCTTTTAATATTTAAGGTGCAGCCGATTAATCATGCATTTCGGTAATAACTCAGTGCGTAGCAAGAGCATTTAAAGTTAAAGCAGCAAGACCTCTTCTTACAATTAACGTCTTTTTAGGATCCACTTGTCGCTAAATGCCATGTTGATTGAAGAAGACTAAAGGAGTGGACACTCTCCTCGGAGAGTACGATCGCAAGACTGAAACTCAAAATAATTGATGGGGCCTCCACAAGTAATGAAATATGTGGTTTAATTCGATACAACGTGCTTTCATTGTGATGATGGAATAAAAATTCACTGGTGGACATTCTGGTGTGTGCCAATCATTCAAGTAGTGATTTGGCATCAAGTGGAATTATCGACGTAATTTCATAAAATCATTTGGTTTGAATGCTATATGAAGAAAATGAGCCAAATAACGNCTTTCATTGTGATGATGGAATAAAAATTCACTGGTGGACATTCTGGTGTGTGCCAATCATTCAAGTAGTGATTTGGCATCAAGTGGAATTATCGACGTAATTTCATAAAATCATTTGGTTTGAATGCTGTATGAAGAAAATGAGCCAAATAACAAAAACGGGAAGACCTATGATATAGAAGATCATAACATGAGTGATTTGACATTTTTGCACAGCCTTACCAATCAATGTGAGAATATACAAAAGGTGAAAGTAATTGATCAATTTTTGTTTGTTGGAGTAACTCATTTGTCCCAATGGATCATAACAGTATATTATTTCGCTCATTCATTGGATTAATGTTGAACCTTGTGTAAAGCCGTCTCTCTACACAAGAGAATAAATCTATGGACGGTAACTCCAAAGGGTGAATGCTTCGTGCGATATTCGAATCTCTGACTTACGTTTGTGAAGACACTTATCAGATGACCGAAGCTACCACTAGATTAATCCATTGGTATTAATTAATCACTTTCTTATAAAACTAAGGCTGAAGAAACAAGTTGGAAAATTGAGAGTAGTAGTAGAGAGGGTGGCATACAGTGTTCAAAAAAAGGTAGAGATGGCATATAAATGGCATCGATTAACCTGTCATGGTAGCTCGAATAAAAATACTTAAGAAAGTTTTTATCTCGAAATCTTACGTAATTTATACATCTATTTGTGTGACTGTGTGCATCGAAAGTTTGTGCTAAAATCGCAAATCCGTGGCATGTGATCAGGTGCTTCTTCGTACACAAACCCACCAAAAAAAACTTTCTGAATTGGCAGGCACTGGTGCTCTTAATTAAGCTAGGCTTGGGTCAAGTGTCAAAAATCAAAGTCAAGTACTTATAAACCAACTTATAGCTGCACCATTCTTGGTTGTTATCAAATAATAATCATTTTCAATGTGGAATGTTCCAAGACACAAGCACATGAATACGAGCACATGAATAATAATCATTTTCCATGTGCAATAATCATTTCAAGGGTGTGTTTGTTTCAATGGATTTTAGGGATTAGCTAAAACTGTCTTTGGGGCCCACATATCTTTTATTTTGGTCAAAAAAAAAATGGGGTGGGATAAATGTTGAGTTTGAAAAAAATGGGTCGTAAAAATTGGACAACTTATTCCTTCTGGAATGGATATTTTTTAACTCATGGGACGTGTGTAGAGACATAACTACGNTGGCCCTCCTCCTGGTGCCAAGTTTCCCCCACGCTTCGAACCTGTCGATCGCGAAAAGGTCCCCCATCCGTCTCTCTCTACATATATTTGTTTGTATATGGGTGTATGGTAGTAGAAATACTGACAAATGTATTATTGTTTGTGTATTTATCTGGGTATCCATGTTTAGATATGGGTTTCCTTGTAGGGTTTAGAGCATGTTGTTTACTTATTCTTTTGGGGTTTCCCAGGGGTTTTTGGTATGCTTTGGGGAAGCTTAACTCTGATTCTTGTGGGCTTTTGTGGATTTTGATAAACTAGTGGTTAAATTTCTATTTGATGGATTCTCACATTCATATTATATTTTCATTCGCTGTAATCTTGTTTTTCAAGAATGTAAAAAAAAATGTAAGTTTTATGGCCCTAAAACACACTCAGAAATACACTCAAAACGTACCCACACACACGCAGACTTATAAAAACCATGAAAATGTCCTGTGAGGAAACTGAAGGACACAGGTGAACGATATCATCATGTACATGAGGGTGCTAAAATAACGTGCGCATAGTGATATTTCTCTTTTATTTTTTGGTGAATCATGGATTTAAGAAAAGAAAATCAATTTTAATGTATACCAAGGATCAAAATTTTATTTGAGTACATAATTTCGGTGAGGTTGGAAATAAAAATGTTTTGGTATTATTTCGGAAATCAGATGGAAACAAAGAAAAAAAAATTAAAAATTTGTTTCTGAAACATTGGTTGAAACGACCAAAACATTTTGATGAGTTTCTTATCAAACAATACCCTTGATGCCCCTTTATTGACAAGATAAATTTTACGGAGGATGGAGGACTATGAGATTCACACAATCACAGTTGGGAGGAACGCGTAAGGTGGTAGGCACAATCACACAATAACGGCTATAACCCAATTGTTTCTGGTTCTGGCCATTTATCAGAGAATTTTCTATGAGTTTTGGGACTTGATCCGACTTCTTGTAGTTCTACCATTGCATTGTAGCCTTTGGATCTGTAGCAGGTTGGGATTCCATATACAAAAANCACTTTCCTTCCAATTTTGGAGGGATTGATTTTGGTGAGTCGGAAGGAAAGTTAATTCATCAACTTTTTTATTCTTCCTACTTTCTTTTTTTAATAAATATAATGTTTTATCTATCTTTATAATTTTTAATCTTTCCAAATTTCTTTTTTTCAATTTTTCCACCGTACCAAACGGAGCATAAGTATTTATAAGGGTGAGGATGACCCCCTCATATTTATAAAATTATCTTTTTGCCCTTTAATATTTTTAAGAATTCTAATATGTATTTGTAGATTTTTCAAAATCATCTTTTTGTATAAAAGATATTCAATTAGTGTATTTAAAAAACAAAATAGCATCACATTAAACATTTTAATAACCAAATGGGATAAGAAGTAGTATTGATTCACGAAAATCAGCTGGACCAAGTGAACAAGTCTCTCAACTATACTGAGATTTGACAGAAGTAAAGAGTAGACAATTTTATACATGAAAGTCAAACTCATGACATCTTACTTGGGTTGACCTTTTGTGTGAAAATTACTTAAAAGAACAAGGAAAAAACATTTGAAACAAATAATGGTGGAACCTTATTGCTAATTTTAGCCTATACTCTTATCAATGATGGACTTATGGAAATTTGAGAAGAATAAAAGTAAAACTTCAAAATTGGAGGGGAAAGAATGGAAGACATGATATAAGAAATCAGTCTAGTCTAAAGTAGTAAAAGTGTTATGGTGAAGAGGATGATACAAAACATCTTTTTGGTAAAAAAAGAAAGTTCGAGCAATACGTGAAAATTTAATTTGAATCATTTGATGTTCAAATGAACTAATAGATGGTTTGTTCGAATATAGATGCATGATATAAATAAGGTGAACAATTAATAACCATTAAATCGTAGGACATCATACTTTCTTAAGCAATGGGTTAGGAGGTTTGATTGTGTAAGGTCGAATCGAATAGTATGAATTTGGGTCGGATCCTATACTGGAATGAACCATCCTCTTCGTGTGATTGGATCAGCTGGTAGCTTTGGGCCGAAAGTTATGGAGAGGTGGGCCTGAGACCAAACTAACAAAAGCTATACTGGCTCTCTGGCGGCCAGAGCGAAACCGAGACGATTTGTGTGTGTCGCACAGAGAGAGAGAGAGAGAATGGCGGAAGTAGAAGCGCAAAGAAGAGGAGGAAGACCACTCTATCCATCGGCCAGGGGTCCACGTGGCCCTCCTCCTGGTGCCAAGTTTCCCCCACGCTTCGAACCTGTCGATCGCGAGAAGGTCCCCCATCTGTCTCTCTCTACATATATTTGTTTGTATATGTGTGTATCCATGTTTAGATATGGGTTTCCTTGTAGGGTTTAGAGCATGTTGTTTACTTATTCTTTTGGGGTTTACCAGGGGTTTTTGGTATGCTTTGGGGAAGCTTAACTCTGATTCTTGTGGGCTTTTGTGGATTTTGATAAACTAGTGGTTAAATTTCTATTTGATGGATTCTCACATTCATATTATATTTTCATTCGCTGTAATCTTGTTTTTCAAGAATGTAAAAAAAAATGTAAGTTTTATGGCCCTAAAACACACTCAGAAATACACTCAAAACGTACCCACACACACGCAGACTTATAAAAACCATGAAAATGTCCTGTGAGGAAACTGAAGGACACAGGTGAACGATATCATCATGTACATGAGGGTGCTAAAATAACGTGCGCATAGTGATATTTCTCTTTTATTTTTTGGTGAATCATGGATTTAAGAAAAGAAAATCAATTTTAATGTATACCAAGGATCAAAATTTTATTTGAGTACATAATTTCGGTGAGGTTGGAAATAAAAATGTTTTGGTATTATTTCGGAAATCAGATGGAAACAAAGAAAAAAAAATTAAAAATTTGTTTCTGAAACATTGGTTGAAACGACCAAAACATTTTGATGAGTTTCTTATCAAACAATACCCTTGATGCCCCTTTATTGACAAGATAAATTTTACGGAGGATGGAGGACTATGAGATTCACACAATCACAGTTGGGAGGAACGCGTAAGGTGGTAGGCACAATCACACAATAACGGCTATAACCCAATTGTTTCTGGTTCTGGCCATTTATCAGAGATTTTTCTATGAGTTTTGGGACTTGATCCGACTTCTTGTAGTTCTACCATTGCATTGTAGCCTTTGGATCTGTAGCAGGTTGGGATTCCATATACAAAAACCCCTGTTTCGAGTCTCGGCTTATATTTCCCTTTCATTTTTGGTTTTCCTAGCAGGCAAACATTGGAAAAGGATTTTTTTCACATACTCATTTCTTTCGTCTTATGGATTCTTAGATCCAAACAGGCCAAAAACAGAAACTGAAAGACAACATGAAAAATTAGCTAGGCTGGAAAACGTAGTTTGCTTTGACATATGAGATGAAGGTGAAGCCACCAAAAAGACGTATGATTACAAATTGCATATGAATTGGGTAATTGTTTACAATTTAGTTTTGGATCTATCAAGTTAGATTGTCTGTTTTTCAGTACTAATTTTGTAATGTTGTTCTATCTCTAATAATAGTCTAATCTTGTTAGAGATAGCTTGGTGATATGATTTTGGGTGTGTTTGGTGACACTCTCAGATATAAAAGTTCATTTTGAGAATTCTGGTCTGTTTGGTGAATCAACGCTCCTCACTTCTCTTGGAGGAGTATCGTCTTGAAAAGCGCATCCCCATAAGCTAACTAAGCAAGCTTCTCAAAACTAGATTTTTGGACTTCTCGTGAAGGAAACATCTCATTTAAGTAATTCTCATGTATGTCTGGCCATCTCTATTCTAACCCACTTGCACAATTAATTTGCATACCCAGATGATATACAAACAAAACAAAAACGAAACAAATCACCCATCATCTCTATAATCCCAACCCAATTTGTCCTATGAAAATTATGCTTATGACATGTACACAGCAGAAGGTTAGGAGATTCACCAGAGAAAACAAAACTGTCGACTAATAACATCTCTAACCCTTACCTTTTTATAAGCCAAAATTTAAATTTGAGTGAAAAACTCTTAAAAATTTTCTTCAATCCTATATCAAAATCCATACCAAATTAAGGGAGCCTCAAAAGTTTATCCAAATCAAGGTAAACTCAAACCTTTACTTAAATCACTAATGGTCATATTTTATTTTCTTTTAAAAATTCAATGGTCATATTTCACTTCACCCTCTTTTAAATTTTAGTTTGTCCATTGGAACCCTTTGTATCAAATTAAGCTTTTTTACTCAAATGTTGATTCAAATTTGAAAAAAAAAATTGAGTTAAGGTTGAAGATATTCTAGCACATTGAAAAAAAAAGGGAGAGATAAGTAGTAGGTAGTGTGGTGGGTGAGGAAAGGAGATGAGAGAGAAAGGGGCTTGTCTTATGTCTGACTGTGAGAGAGAGAGAGAAAGACAAAGAGTTTTTGTGTGTGTAGAAATTGGCAGACCTGAGTTGCATAAGATGTTTGGAAAAGAATATCCTAGCACAGTGAATTGGAACATACAACTGTGAAATCCTTGTAATGCAGCCATGTTGGGATTTTTTTTTGGGAGAGGAAGTATATTTGAAATTGGTTTTACATGAAATGGTGGTACTATTTTATAGGTTAGGGTTTTGAACATATGTGGACAACAATAATTATTTTTCAGTAAGCGACAACAACAAATTAATTTGTTGGTTTCATTGTTATGCTTTTGCAATATATATGTTTTAATCCAATTATTTACTAGAACACATTAAATGGATTATTAAAATTCTTAAATTCATGTATGGTAAGGTTAAGGGTAGTATTATAATTTTGAGATATTAACACCAAACATGGAAATACACTTTTTTATTCACGAGCACTTTCGAATAGCATCTCACCAAACGTCTTGTATGTTTTGTAAAGTCCATTTTGTTAAGTCCATCGCATAGATGGACTTTTATCTTGAGAAGTTACACCAAACACAACCCATATATTTTCTACTTATTACTTTTTCGTCAAGTTCTCTTTTGATGGGAGTGGGAGTTAGAATTTTTAAGAAATTTTTTTAAAAATGCTTTGTTGTATATGTCCATTGATAAGATGTTCGTTATCTGCAATTGATATCCAAAATTGTCCATAATCTTTTCATTGCTTTATTGTTTAATGATGCTGATAGAATCTTTCTACCCCATTGACGTGCAGACTTGTCCATTGTTGCTTCGAGTTTTTACCAAGGTAAGTGCACTACTCGCAGAAGAGAGATATTTTTCTACTTGAAATCCTCCTTGCATTTTTTTTTTCTCCTCTTCTACTACTTGAGAATAGAGCTGGCCATGCACTGTGTTCACGGACAAGCTATTAGTGATTTTGCTTTGTCTGTGAAAAAACTCACTATTCATTTTTTAAACTATGTTGGTTTATTAATTGTTATGTTGTTAAAGTTGTAATTTTTTTCTTATGCAGCACTCAGCAGCAATATTTTTCTTATTATTTCCTAATTTAGTGGGCTGGAATATAATTTGTAGGTAGTGCATTTTAGAAGAAACTGAGCATTTCTTTTTCCTATTTGTCCTATCTCAGTTAGGGGCCATTGCAGGAGTGATAAAGTAGGTTAATGTCTAAGGACAACAGTTTGTGCTGAAAATGCTGAACATTGTTGCACGCCTATTTCACTCCGACCACCCCTATTAGAATCCCATGGCAGTAGGAGTGCTGGTTATTGCTCATTTGGGTGGAGTTCTTTCGCCTATGGTCCAAAAATTTTTTATGGCTTGTTTTATTTAATTAATGCTTTGTACACAGAAAAAAAAAAAATGAATGCTTTGTATTTCATTACTTTCTTTTGGGAACTGGCAGTTTTAAATTATTATTTCTTACTGGAAAAGTAAAAGAATTGTATCACTTACTTGTCTCTCTGATAGTTGGCTAGAATCTGTGGCTTCAACCTATTTGTGGTGAAATTCTACAAGTGGAAGGGATCCATTGTGGTTTGGGAGTCACAGGTTGTATTTAGGGGGAGAGCCTCTTCGCATGAGTGAGCGGGTAAGATTGTGTAACTTTGACCCTCCCCAGACTCCACAATGGTTGGAGCCTGGGTTGCCCTATTCTATTTATCTGTTTTTGCAAGAAATTGTCTTTGATTGTTTGACGGTTCAAAGCTGAATGGGGAAGGGAAATCATTGTTCTTATTTCTGATGTGTCCGGTTGCCCTAGAATGTCGCGCGTCTTACCATTACCACTTTCTTGCATAAATGTATTCCCTCTAATCTTGTCCTGCAATTTTTACAGGATTTTGCATTATGGAAAAGTTTGTGGCTTACTTTCTTGAGAATAATAAGTGGCTTCCTTTATCTTTGGTCTTTCCTTTCCTTTAACTCGATTTCCCTTGAATTACACTTTCCTGCTCATAATTCATGACAAACAAAAAGAGCCTAGGAGCTCTCCTTATCCCTGCGGCATTTATTTTTTTCTTTTCTTTTTCTTTGGGGGAGGGGGGGGGGGGTGGTGTTCTCAAGGAATTTAAGGACTTTGGGGAGGACTGTTTGAAAGGAAGCTACATCTGTGTTATTATTGATTGAGTAGTGGATGAAGTCTTTCTTGCCTCCACACTTTTTATTTTGTACAGTTGTCAAATGTTTCTGCTCTCCTGTACAACTATTAACTCTCTCTCTCTCTCTCTCTCTCTCTCTCTCTCTCTTGTATTGTTTTTATTGTATAGAATGTGAAAGTAAAAGGCATAGTTGTTCAGGATGTATTGTAATGGAATGGATGCCTGTTGATTTACTGGATTGGTGCCTGTATGTACTGACCAGAGTTTATATAGATAGTTGTGATTCACTGTCATAGCTTACCACTTATAATCATAAGATAGATTACCAAGCTTTTGATTCGTGTGAATATCTTTCAGATTGGAGGTCATCATACCGATATGGATTTTGCAGTGAGAGGCAAGGAGCCTAAAGATGAGGTCCAAATTTATACATGGAAGGATGCTACTCTTCGTGAACTAACTGATCTGGTATGTGTAGTATATACCCATTTTTTGCCGCCTATACCCCCTGCCTCACTCTTTTTTGTGTTTGTGTACTGCTATACGAATATATGACAAGTTCTTTTCTGAAAGACCTATACATGTACTTTATCAGTCAATATGATTGGGAATCATTTTAGTTGGCATAAGACTCCTCTTTATGTTGAAATCATGGAGGAAAGGATGGGAACATGTAAACCTGAGATAGTGTGGTGCTGTTCTGTCTTAATTCATATTGTAGTCTTGTTAGCGAGAGAGTGCCCCGCGCGGCCCGCCACCGCCACCCGGGGGGGAGGGGGGGGGAGGGTGGTGTAAAGATAGGGTGCAGGGGGAGGACAGAACAATGTTAGAACATGTGCTATTCCTACATTACACTATATGAGTGGCTGTTTTTCTGGTTGAATGGTCCAGTAGGGTTTAATTTGAGGTAGCACACAGTTGCTTGGACGACAGCTTATTACTTACCTTCCAAAGTTGCATAGCTCTCTTTGTCATATCGTAGTCTTGTTGGTGATAAGGTGCGGGAGCAGTAAAAGGAGGGTGCGGGAGCAGAAAAAGGAGTACAATGTCAAAACATATGCAATTCCTATATCATGTGAGTGGCTGTTTTTCTGGTCGAATAATGGACCAATGGGGTGTAATATGAGGGTTTGTTGGTGAGTCCACTGGATGAGTCCCTTGGGTTGTGCTGCAGTCACCCCAGATTCTTTCATTTCCATGTAAAGATCATTTCCTTCACGAGTACGTTCACCTNTAGTGGATGAAGTCTTTCTTGCCTCCACACTTTTTATTTTGTACAGTTGTCAAATGTTTCTGCTCTCCTGTACAACTATTAACTCTCTCTCTCTCTCTCTCTCTCTCTCTCTCTCTCTTGTATTGTTTTTATTGTATAGAATGTGAAAGTAAAAGGCATNAGAGCACCGTTCTGGGTTTAGTTTGTCTGAGGCAAGAGGTCTTGCTGTGAGGCTCTTTGGGAGGTTTTTTTTGGGTTTAGATGGTGGGAATTGATGATAGAGTAAATGGCAGGTGGCATGTGGAGTTTATGTTCATGCAGTAGTGTTAGTGTCGGCTAGTCATGTTGTCGCAGTGAATGGGAGGGGTGCTGTGATGCTTGAGCTGTACAAAGCTCAGGGACAGAGCGAACTCATTTAGAATTGGATGGAGTCACTAATGTGCTCGTAGTATTAGTTTCGTATGGATGATAAAATCTGCTAAAGATATGCCCATTCTATATTACCATGTGCCCTGTATATTCTATCTACTGTTTATCCAGTTTCTTTTTATATTTTTCTTTTTCTACACTATAATGTCTCTTCTGGTTGTTGGTCCCTAGTTGACAGCTCTCCTTTGTAGGTTAAAGAGGTGGCTCCAGAAGCCAGAAGAAGGGACGTGGTTCTGTCCTTCGCTTTCGTATATCCTGCTAAAAGTGGGCGTTTTGTGGTTAGAGAGGTATCAACCTTTCTCTCTCTCTTTCTATGTGCGCGCGCAGACACATTGACGCTGCTATTTTTGAGAGTCAGAGTTTCTCAACCCATATTTGTTTTTCCTTGCTACAATTACTCAAATCCGAAGGCATGAACTTNCTCTCTCTCTCTTTCTATGCACGCGCGCAGACACATTGACGCTGCTATTTTTGAGAGTCAGAGTTTCTCAACCCATATTTGTTTTTCCTTGCTACAATTACTCAAATCCAAAGGCATGAACTTCTAACGACAAAAATCCAAGTTTGGACTAGACTTNGGACGTGGTTCTGTCCTTCGCTTTCGTATATCCTGCTAAAAGTGGGCGTTTTGTGGTTAGAGAGGTATCAACCTTTCTCTCTCTCTTTCTATGTGCGCGCGCAGACACATTGACGCTGCTATTTTTGAGAGTCAGAGTTTCTCAACCCATATTTGTTTTTCCTTGCTACAATTACTCAAATCCGAAGGCATGAACTTCTAACGACAAAAATCCAAGTTTGGACTAGACTTCGTAATCTTTTTCCAAATCATTTTTCCAAATCAAGCATGTGTCTAATTGTATTTCATGAACAAGTCATGGATGTTATTCTAGTTGGGGTTTATGATCAACCTCTCAGAATAATATTTAAGAGTGATTGCAATATGAAGTTTTTCTTCTTGGTCCTGCGTCACTNGAAGGCATGAACTTCTAACGACAAAAATCCAAGTTTGGACTAGACTTAGTAATCTTTTTCCAAATCAAGCATGTGTCTAATTGTATTTCATGAACAAGTCATGGATGTTATTCTAGTTGGGGTTTATGATCAACCTCTCAGAATAATATTTAAGAGTGATTGCAATATGAAGTTTTTCTTCTTGGTCCTGCGTCACTCGCATAGAAAATGATGGGAAAAATTTGACAAGAAGTCAATGTGAAGTTGATCCTTTGCTATAAAACATTATTTAAAGCAATTTATATCATTTGTATTTCTTGCAACAATATCAGAATTGTACTTAACCCTGTATCTGGTGCAAATTGTCAAATAATTCACCAAATTCACTTGCCGGAAGAAACTATTTCGCCAAGTATTCCTAGTGTCCTGAAGAGATGGAATTGTTGGTGTATTTGTTGTTTATTTTAGATATTCTGGCNTGCAATTTATATCATTTGTATTTCTTGCAACAATATCAGAATTGTACTTAACCCTGTATCTGGTGCAAATTGTCAAATAATTCGCCAAATTCACTTGCCGGAAGAAACTATTTCGCCAAGTATTCCTAGTGTCCTGAAGAGATGGAATTGTTGGTGTATTTGTTGTTTATTTTAGATATTCTGGCATAGCAATCTCCCATACTCCTTTCATGAACACAGATGTCTCTGTTTGTCTGTTAGTTCTGCCCTTCCCTGCCTTTTCTCTTTCTTATCGATCTAATTTTGATGGATTATGTCTGATGTTTAAACTGTGTTGTGTTGTTCATGACTGACACTTGGTTTTCTTCACAGTTTCTTAAGTCTCTGTTTGAGTCACTTTATTACTCCAATAGTTTTCAATTTAGTGTGGTCTTTTTGGCCGAGTGTTAAAGTTGGCAAAAGTGATTACCATAAATTCATATCTTTGTTCAGAAGCTAATGATTTGTTAGATCGAGAAAAAAGTGTAACAATTTGTATTCTTCTTATTATTTTTTTCGGTAAGTTTGTTTTATTATCATCATTATTGAATTGCAGCTTCTAAATATGTTCAGATTGACATAAGGGGTTCTATATGATTAGTATATGCTGACGTGTGTCCCCAGGAATTGAATATTTTTTTGTGGTTTGATGGTTCTGTTTAAATTTTAGACTTCATATTCAACAATACTATTTTCATGCATATACATGATCCATGGTTGGATGTCAAAAACATCTAAGTTGTGACTCTGGAATTGTCCACTGTGTAATATGAAGGTGGGAAGAACGTTCTCTTATCCAAACGGGAGACAACCAGATAGTGGCAGCAAAGCATTGGGTGAACTTAACTTCCAGGTAAAACAACACCATATCATCGCTTGCCTAATCTCCCTTCTGCGAATTTCTCTGTAACTTATATCTCAAATTTGCAGATTGGAGATTACTTGGACGTGGCAATTCTACTTGGTCGTGATAAGGCAGATACTTGAAGGTCTTTTAGCACCTGTTTCTTCTTTTTCCCTGGTCAATATGATGTGTCATTGCATTTGCGCAACTATTGTGGCCAACTATGCAGTTGACTGTAGCAGTTCGTCCTTATATATATTGCTATAATGGAGGACATTTTCAGTTCGGAGAATCTTCCTTTAATGGCTAAACATCTTTTGTTTTATGTTCCTATCAGTTAGTTGCTTATTTATGTGAGTCGTAACGATCTGACTCGGTGGAAAAGGTTGTGTTTTAGTTTGCTCTTGGCCTTTTTTACCAAGAGTTCTTTGAGAAGGCAAGGACCAAGAAGTCTATTTTTACTTCCTAAATCTTACTTATTGCTTCTTCTTTTTTTTCTCTCTCTTCAATTCTTGTGTTACAAGATCATCTGTCATGATTTCAAGTGGATTTTTACTAATCGATGAATGATGCAGCATTGAGGGAATTGAAAGGGGTTATTTTCTGATGGGATCTCAATCATGTAGTTTGGTCGGGGAAATGAGCAAAAGAACGAAACTTAAGTGGGGTTTGATAAAATCGAAAATTGAAAGTTGATATCTGAAAATTGAATGTTGAATTTGTAAACTGTTTAGTATTTACTGAAGTTTAACTATTGAATTGAACTAAACTGTTAGATAATTATACAGAGTTAACGTCTGAAAATAAATTAATTTTCAATTTTACTCTTTCACTTTTTAATATAAATCATAATGATTATTTTTATATTGTAGTTTATATTTAACAAATATTTGATTAAAATAAATAACATTTAAATAACACAATAAATGAACAATAACATCTAATAAAAAAAGAATAATAATTAATAAATAATCAAATAATATTAAAAAATATATAATAAATTAGATTTCATTAATAATATGTGTGTACATCGTGTGTGCGTGCGTGTAAGTATGTGTGTGTGCAGTGTATATGTCTGTGTATAATTATGTGTGTGCAGTGTCTGCATTTATGTGTGTAATTATAATTATGTATGTATATTTTTGTTACAGAAGACAAGGGAAAGAAAAAAAAAAAAAAGAAATCAACAAAAAGAATATATAGGTTAGGAGTTTTGAAAAGAAGACTAATTAGAGTTTTAATAGGATTGTAAAATATTTTATGGTATAATTGTTATAATATAAATATTATTAAAAGTGATTTTGTTTAGCGTTTTTAGGTTTCAGAATTAAATAAATGATCTCTTACTTAACATTGTAACCTATTTTTAAGGAGCACTAAACGTATGAAGAGAGTTTAAATTTTAGTTATTAAATGTTGCTTAATTAATAAATATTGAATACATTAATTTTAAATACTGAATTTGTATTAACAAACACACCCTTAGTCTTGTCCAATAATTTTGGAGTCAGATAAATGAATTCTAGTTTGTTATTTTATTAGGAAAAAGATTTGGTTCAGCATGTTTTATTGGATATAGGTAGAAAAAGAATCTCGACTTGGTATTTAAAAATAAAAATAAAAATAAAAGAAATAGAACTAAGTTAAGATGATAGGAATGAAGTTTAGGAGTAGATATGATTAAAGATCACTAGTAATTGTGAACATGGTTTTGTTATTTGTTTTGGAAATCTTTTTGTACCCTACTCATCTCCTACCACAATAAATAAATAAATAACTGACATAGAATTCAGGAAAATCAACAATGAATGTAGTAGTGTTTCATTGTTCTTGATCAATAAATGCAAGAATATAGCATTTTGATTTGGTTATTTATTGCAGAATCTTTTTGAGTTTTCTCCTTCACTCTCTTCTATTTTCCTTTATCTTAAAAAACACAATTCATTTCATCCATGTCTTAACTACAAAATATTACAAAAGCGAGTGGGGAGAAGGGGGAACTGAAGACATTATTATTATTGTCTAATTGAAGAAAAGGAAAATAATAAAAGGATGGTTACTATATTTATCCAAAGTCGAGGGTCACAGTTGCGAATTGTCATAAATCATAAGGACGTTTTAGTATTTTACCCAACGTCGGTAAGGCGCCGGGCCAGCATTACCATACGACACCGTATTAAGGTAACACAGAAAAAAGTAAAGCGTGTAATCGAGAAAGCGATTAAAGAGGAGAGAGAAAAATTAGAAGCCCAAACCCGAAGTATCTATCGCTGTTCTTAATCATAATCCTTTCTCTCTCCTATCTCACTCCTAGGGCAATCACATCTCTCTCTCTCTCTCTCTCCCTCCCTCCCTCCCTCCCTCACTCACACACACACACACACACACACATTACCTCTTTTCGGTCGATTCAACTCGGAATTATCCGTCATTCTTACCTCTCTTTGTTTGTATGTTAATACACACACAATCGTCACTCTTCTGATGCTTTCGTGGGAACTCCGTTGAAATTCGGCCGGTAATTATGGTTCTATCTTTCTATCTCTACCTTTACACGCACATACGCACATTTATATGTGTGTGTATTTGTGTGGTAACTCTCACAATGCTTTGTCTCTTTGGATTTTTCAGGTTCTGTGTGTTGGGGATAGGGAATGGCGACTAAGAGGGGATTATCAGGTACGGTAATTCACAGGAACAGAAACAGCGGCGGTGGATCTCGATTCCCGATTGCTATTCTCGTGTTCTTCTCAGTTCTCGCTTCGTTGGTTTTCTTCGTGGGTCGAGGACTCTATTTCACAACTTCAATTGGTTAGTATTTATACAAATCCAAGTTATATTTATAGTTGTATGCACACAGATGGCTGAAAATTTAAAAGTGTAGATCTCTCTATTTGAAGGTCATAATCTTGTTGATTATATTACTAGGGCTTGAAATTCTGTTAAGTTTAGCTCATTGAGTTGAAAGTAAGAGGGTTTTATGTCATGATGGTACTCAATTTGTTGTAGCCACTTGTTCGATTAAACGTGATGTATTTTTATTTCTTTCGCAGATGGGAATGATTTTTCAAGCAGTTCTAGTAATCAGGTAGTCTTCATTGCTGCTTATATGGTTTAGAGCGTAATTCTTGCATGCGTACCTTGGTTGAGTAAATTTTTTTTACTGTTGTAGGATGTAGATTGGAGAGAAAGACTAGCGTTGCAGAATGTTAAATCACTGTTCTCAAAGGAGGCAAGTTTGAATTGCGGAAGATTTAATTACGGATTTATTCGGCTATTATGCTTCACGTTACTCAGTTTTTCTAGTTTATGGTAGTTTCTCATGTCAGCATTTTTCTATATTTTAGGTGATTGATGTCATTAAGGCGAACACGGATGATTTAGGGCCTCTGAGTTTTGATTTTCTCAGGAAGCATAATTTGTCTGCTTCCTGGAAATTGGTTGGGCAAGAGATTTCGGTTGAGAATAATGGCACTCCTGCTGAGGTCAGAATGACTCTTAGGCTTTAGTTTAAAACTTGTGCCCATTGTTATCCTTAAATTTTAGGATGCAAAACCATGTCAACTCAAAGTTGCTGATTGATTCTTGTTTCTCTGCTTGGTCTTTTGCTTTAAGGCAAATCAAACATCCGTAACTATCAAACAACAAATCCCTAGAGGCAGACAAGATGATTTTTTAGATGGTAATATTAATTCTTTTACCTTTTTGATTCTATAATGCTTAGTTTACTTGGAATTATTAATCAACATGATGATCTTTTGACCCATGCAGTTGATCATTCTCAGTTTGTTGATTCACCTGCAAAACTAGCAAGAAGGGTAAGTATCATCATTAGATTCAACGTGTGCTGCGGCTATTGGACTGTTTTTGCATTTTTGGAAAGAAATTGCAGCTGTTAGTTGAGAACTGTGAGGAAGACGGAAATTAGTACCTTGGATCATCTACTTCTGCATCGGTGGGAAAAAAAAAAAAGAAAGAGAAAGAAAAATGCTTTTCAACTCTGTGTTGACCTCTCCTTTTACTTATATTTTCTTTAAGTCATTAATTTATCTGTTTAAAATTTTTGCCAGCAATTGAGAGAGAAAAGACGTCAAAAGCGTGCAACTGATTTGGAAAAAAAAGATGATGAAGTTACTGTTAAACTTGAAAGCGCTGCAATTGAACGTTCCAAATCAGTTGATTCTGCAGTCTTGGGGAAATATAGCATATGGAGGAAGGAAAATGAAAATGAAAATTCTGATTCAACAGTACGCTTGATTCGAGATCAGATGATTATGGCAAGGGTATATTTAAGCCTTGCAACGATGAAGAACAAGCTTGACTTGGCCCATGAACTACAAATCTGCCTTAAAGAAAGTCAACGTGCTGTAGGAGAGGCATCTGCTGATTCTGATCTACATCAGAGGTAGTAAATGTTTATTGTCCTTGTGCATTTATAATCACTTTCATTTCTCCCCATTCTACCTATTGTTCTTATTTTGTTTGATATGCATTAAATATGTCTATAGTGCACCTGCGAAAATCAAAGCTATGGGCCAAGTACTGTCAAAAGCTAGAGAGCAACTCTATGACTGCAAGCTGGTCACTGGAAAGCTAAGAGCGATGCTTCAGACCGCGGATGAACAAGTCCGGAGCTTGAAAAAGCAAAGCACATTCCTCAGCCAGTTAGCAGCCAAGACAATTCCAAATGGAATCCACTGCTTATCCATGCGCTTAACCATTGAGTATTACCTTCTTGCACCAGAGAAGAGACAGTTTCCCAGACAGGAAAATTTGGAAAATCCAAAACTTTACCATTATGCACTGTTCTCTGACAATGTCTTGGCAACATCAGTTGTTGTAAATTCAGCCATTATGAATGCTAAGGTATAGGATTCTGCTCTTTATTATGTTGATTTTTGCCCAGTCGGTTTGCATGTGCTTGATTAAAAATGCAGTTGGGGACATCCTTTAGAAAACGTATTTACACTTTTGTTATTGTTTTTAAATGTAGGAAGAATTTTTCAACCTGATTGCTCAGTTCCTTTATAGTCCTTGTTCTGGTATACTTAGTATATATGTGTAAATAGAGCACTCAGTAGTAAGTTTGTTCCATCTGACTTATCAAAATGTCCAACATCTGATGTATGCTATGCTGAAAGATTGGGACGATAAGATGCTTAGTGCCATTGAATTTTTTGAAAGATAATTCAGCAGTTTGCTGCTGAATTACAGGGCTCAGAACTGATTAGTTGATTATTTTGTTGCCATTGACATTCTCTTAAGTGGGTTTCCTTTCAATGGAGTTTGAGCACTCATAGTTCCAACCTGAGCCTCCCATGAAAGTTGTTTTTGTTTTCCCTGGACTTAATGATGCTACCTACTTGGCTGGATTGCAGGAGCCAGAGAAACATGTATTCCATCTTGTTACTGATAAATTAAACTTTGGAGCTATGAGTATGTGGTTTATGTTGAATCCTCCTGGAAAAGCCACCATCAATGTGGAGAACGTTGATGAATTTAAGTGGCTTAACTCATCCTACTGTCCGGTGCTGCGGCAATTAGAGTCCGCTGCCATGAAGGAGTACTATTTCAAAGCAGATCATGCCACCACTGCAGGCTCTTCTAATCTGAAGTACAGGAACCCAAAATATCTTTCGATGCTTAACCACCTCAGGTTTTATCTTCCACAGGTTTATCCAAAGTTGGATAAGATCCTGTTTCTTGATGATGACATAGTTGTGCAGAAAGACTTGACTGGATTATGGTCAGTGGATCTCCATGGAAAAGTGAATGGGGCAGTGGAAACCTGTGGCGAGAGTTTTCACCGGTTTGACAAGTATTTAAATTTCTCGAATCCTCACATTTCAAAGAACTTTGATCCGAATGCATGTGGGTGGGCATATGGGATGAACATGTTTGATCTTAAGGAGTGGAAAAGGAAGGATATAACTGGCATATACCACAAGTGGCAGAATATGGTAAGTGGTCAAAACCTTCCTAATATATTTTATGCTTTCTTGCTCTATGTAAACACTAATGCATGTGTATTAACACATTATTTTGCCTAAAATCCTGAGGTGACACTGGCAAGTTCACTTCATCTAAGATCAGTCTGCACCATGCCTTGTGGCACTATCTGGAGCACATAGATTGGTTTTACACTTCCTGTCAATAGTATTTCTCTCTATAATGGGTTGATTCCTTTAAAAATTTTCTTTGAAAGAANTACGTCACATGGTCCCTGAACTATAATCTAATCTAATGTTTAACTCAAGTGAGAATTTTTGTTAAAAGTTAATGGCGAATTTGAACGGAATGGTTATATTGAGTTAGATTATTGTGCATAGTTTAGGGGTTAAATTGACAAAATATAATTTAAAAGTTTGATTGATACAAATAATATAATTAATGTCTAAATAGGGAGTTAACTCATTTTTATTTATTTATTTATTTATTTTTAATTTTAGTGGGTTGATGAGCCAGGCTGCCTTCGGATGTTGCAGGCTCTTGACCAAGGTGGGCTAGAAAAAGGTCTACATCCCTACCCTTTGGTCAATACCATGGCTCTTTGGGCTTCTTGGGTGAGCCATGAGTTATTTGGCGAGTCAAAATTGAGGAAAACTCTACGGTACTGGAAAAAAAAATAGTATTGGTACATCCAATTATTATTTTATATAATAAAGTTACAATTTTGAAAGGAAAAATTACAACTGCTCAAGAAAAATTATGATCGATCACAAACATCCATTATCAATNAATAGTATTGGTACAGCCAATTATTATTTTATATAATAAAGTTACAATTTTGAAAGGGAAAATTACAATTGTTCAAGAAAAATTATGATCGATCACAAACATCCATTATCAATCATGAAAAAAGTAATATCTTTCACAATATTTTATGATCAATCATATAATTTAAAGTTATAATTGCAACTTAAAAAAATTATAATTTAACCTTAAAAAGGTTGTAATTTTCATTACCGATATTGCCTCGGTGCTATAAAAATTCCCCCTAATTGAAGTGTTTTCAGTGAGAAACTAGCGAAACATAACTTTTGCCCGGCNAATCATATAATTTAAAGTTATAATTGCAACTTAAAAAAATTATAATTTAACCTTAAAAAGTTGTAATTTTTGTTACCGATATTGCCTCGGTGCTATAAAAATTCCCCATAATTGAAGTGTTTTCAGTGAGAAACTAGCGAAACATAACTTTTGCCAGGCCATGATTTACTTCAAATGAACCTAAAAGATAATATGCTTCAAAAAAAAAAGTTTATCACAAAACCTGTTAAAAGAAGATGCAACAATGCATTCATTCATCAAAAACNAAAAAAAAAGTTTATCACAAAACCTGTTAAAAGAAGATGCAACAATGCATTCATTCATCAAAAACTGGAGACAATAAAGACTTATTAGAGAAGAAAGCTTCCAAATTCCCCGATATAAGTTCAAACATATCCCTAAACGATTCCTCCGTCAAAACAGAACAATGTGGGGACAATACAATATTGTCCAACACCAAGAGCTCGGTAGGAACATTTGGCTCATTTTCGAAAACATCCAATCCAGCACCTGCAATCTCACCTTGCTCCAGACACCGAACCAACTCCTTCTCATCGACGATTGCCCCACGAGCAATGTTAACGACGATTCCTTCCCTTCCGAGTGCAGACAGTACTTCCTTATTGATCATATGTCGAGTTTCATTGGTTAATGCACAGCAAATGATCAAGATGTCACAATTAGCTGCCAGTTCACAGGCATTTGTGTAGAAAGGGAAGGAAATTGATGGTTTCTTCTTCCTTGAGGTGTATGAGATACTGCAGCTAAAGGCTTCAAGCCTCTTTGCTACTTCTAAGCCAATGCTTCCCAACCCAACTATACCAATTCTCTTTCCTCCCAACTGAAAATCATCAATCACAGTCATTACATAGAATTAGCAAAAGACTTGTGGTAAACTTATCAATCATCACAACCTACATATACCAACTTAATAACCTTTGCGACGACTTCAAGCAATTGTTACTATTTCTATGCACAATATCAGGGATCAATGGGATACTAAACATTCTTCAGCTGCAGACTCTCATGGAGTACTCTGATTGATTTTTTGGCTAACAAGGGAGTAATTGACCAACGTTTCTAACTCTATCACAATAATCAATACTTTCCAACCCAGGGCAGACTACTCATCTTGCAATATCTTCTTTATTTTCGAAAATTACAGAAGAGATTTCCATGATCTTCGCTTTTAGGATTTATTCCTTTCATTTTCTTGTAACGATTGCCTGTATTTTTATTTTTATTTTTACTCTTCCAAAACTGAGTGCATCGAAGAAGTTCACTTTGGAGTAAAAAATGAGATCAATGATCTTAGCTGTAGAAGAAAAACTAATAAAATGACAGCCTCTTACTAAATACTGAAGGATCCTCCAATTTCATAGGATTTCGATAGGAGGGGTTGTGCTCCTATTTTTTGGATATTGAAGTGTGAGTTTAAAATTAAAATATTTGATTGCATAAATTTAAACTTAATTATTGGAATAGAGGAGGTTTCCTTGTGTGGACTTCTTAAAAACTTGTTATTGGTAGAGTTTGTCAGACCATCTCTAATCCTTACCTATTTTTTGAACTTTTTTTTAAAAAAAGGTAAAAAACTCTTAAAAACTTTCTCCAATAGTAGATTCATACTTATACTAAATGAAAGAAAACTCTTTTTTAAATCTAAAGCAAGGGAATGGTGAAATTACACTCTCTTTTAAAGATCTAATGATCATATTACCCTTATTTAAATTTAAATTTATCCTCATTTAAATTTAAATTTTTCTTCCTTTAAAAAAAGAGTATTGCTATTGGGACCTAAAAATCTGACATAATTTGCTAACATAATGATGTGACTTCACTATGACCTTTGGATTGACTGCGGGCTCCATCAAACATTGAAACTTGATATTAATCCAATGGTTCCAATGAAACCACATCATTATGTCAGCAACTTATGTCAGATTTTTAATTCCCAATAGCATTACTCTTAAAAAAAAAGAGTTTGTCTATTGGAGATGTTTTTACCAAATTAAGTTTTTTACCCTATTCTTTACCCAAATTTGGGTCCATTGGATTGTTATTCCTAAAATTAGGCTTGTGATTCCTAAAATTTAGGTTAGTTTGAGAAATTAAAAGAGAGATTGGATAAACATAAGAAGTCTTATTTGCTTGCCTGGTTGTAGTGGATTTAATTGGGAGTTCGAGAGTCTTTGTTAGGGTTTAGAGGTTGGTTGTTATACTAATTTAGTTAGATCTAATTCTGAGAGGTGTTTCAGGCACGGTCAGTGGTCTTATGATCCCACTGATAAGAGCCTAACGGGGTGGTCATTAGGCGTTCTTCCTTTTCCCCACTCTTTTTTTAATCAACAAAAAAAAAAAAGGATTCTACATAAAAGTTCTAGTTTAGTACTAGACCTAGACATAGAATAGGTTACAATAAAAGACTACATTTATTGATTAGTAGGGTTACTTGTGCTCGAAAGGCACGATCCAAACGTAAAAGAGAAGTGATGAATTTTAGGAAAATTCAATGTGAATAAATTTGAGAGAGATGTTGGTGGTCATAGGATAAATCCGTTTGAGACCGTTAAATGAACTTATTGAAACGTGTTTTATTTTATATTATCTATATAATAAAATACCTAACAACTTGAATTTTTATCCTCTATATATTTTTTCTCCTAAAAATATCACATTATATATTTCTATCGCATGTTCAATCATTTAATATTTAATTAATAGATAATTTAACATAATTTTTATTTTAAACATTAATTATATACGATAATATACACATGTTGAGCAAGTTATTGGAATATGTATTTTAAGAAAATTTTATTGATATATTTTAAAAAAATAATGAGTAAAAATAAATTTTAAATGATGTTATCAAAGAAATAAAGAAAAAAAAATATTATTTAATATAATATAATCAATTTTTCAGATGCTCTAATTTTATATTTTATCATGTTTTCAAGCATAGGTTATAACCGATAGATTAATATTATAGATAGATTTCATTCTTTTCAACTGAAACCCTTCTATATAAAGCTTTGAGAGAGAGAGAGAGATCACTATGAGATCTATGGAGACAATCGTATGGAGAAAAATTGATTCCCNTAAAGAAAAAAAATATTATTTAATATAATATAATCAATTTTTCAGATGCTCTAATTTTATATTTTATCATGTTTTCAAGCATAGGTTATAACCGATAGATTAATATTATAGATAGATTTCATTCTTTTCAACTGAAACCCTTCTATATAAAGCTTTGAGAGAGAGAGAGATCACTATGAGATCTATGGAGACAATCGTATGGAGAAAAATTGATTCCCAATGAAATAATTTTACCATAATGTTACTTATTGATTGTATACATAGTTAATGCAAACTTTCTTTACTCACAATAATGTTCCGTTTAGTAGGAAGAATGAAAAGTAGGAGGGATACACTTTCTCTCCTTCAAAGATGAAAAATAGGAAAAATACATTTTCTTTCTTTGTGTNAATTGATTCCCAATGAAATAATTTTACCATAATGTTACTTATTGATTGTATACATAGTTAATGCAAACTTTCTTTACTCACAATAATGTTCCGTTTAGTAGGAAGAATGAAAAGTAGGAGGGATACACTTTCTCTCCTTCAAAGATGAAAAATAGGAAAAATACATTTTCTTTCTTTGTGTTTGATTGGATGGATGGAAAATAAAAATGACAATTTTTTTTTTTTGTGCTAGTTAAGATTATGAATGACAATCGAGTCGTGTCGTATTAGATTCGTGTTGAGTCATTACAAGTTTGTGTCGAATATTAGTCAAATCTAACTTAACTCATTTAACTATTTGTGTCGTGTTGAGTTGACCTGTTTATTTTCGTATCGAATTCAAGTCGTGTCATTGTGTTGAATTGAAAATTTTCATCCTTAGTTAAGATGAAAAAAATATTTTTTTTTAATTTAAAATTTAAAATTTTTTAATATTTAATATTTAATATTTTTAAAATTTTTTAAAANTTAACTCATTTAACTATTTGTGTCGTGTTGAGTTGACCTGTTTATTTTCGTATCGAGTTCAAGTCGTGTCATTGTGTTGAATTGAAAATTTTCATCCTTAGTTAAGATGGAAAAAAATATTTTTTTTTAATTTAAAATTTAAAATTTTTTAATATTTAATATTTAATATTTTTAAAATTTTTTAAAATATATATATATTTTATCACTGCATTTTTATATAAAATTAATGTATATATAAGATATATAGACAAATAAGATACATCTTAACACAAATAATTAATTTTACATCCACTTTCTTTCTTATTTTGGAGGAATTGATTTTGGTGAGTTGAAAAGAAAGTTAATTCATCAATTTTTTCGTTTTTCCTATTTTTCTTCCTTATTAAACACAATATTTTATTTATCTTTTTAATTTTTCATCATTCCAATTTTTCATCAATCAACTTTTTCATTCTACTGAACGGAGCACAAATGAGCACAAGAAAATCGTAAATACAATGATCAAGAAGCTCAATAAGATATGCAGAGAGAGAGAGAGAGAGAGAGAGAGAGAGAGAGAGGGGTGACCTTGGAACCAAGAGGAAAATCTCCTTTGATTGGCCAAAGTCCAGCCTTCACATAACGATTAGCAGCTGTGATTCTTCTAAGAACATCAATCAACAGCCCCACCGCCATGTCGGCGACATCCTCAGAGAAGACTGTCCCGACGTTGGCAACAGAGATTCCCCCGCGGCGGCACTCCGATAGGTCAATATGGTTCAGACCGGCGCTGCTGGTGACAATAACACGAAGGGACGGGAGTAGCCGGAGAACATCGGCGGTGATCGGCGTCCAATCTGAGCACAACAAGGCTCGTATGGATCGAGCATGGGTGGTTAAGAATTGTTCAGTGGGAATCTCCGATTCCCATGCTTTCAGGAACTGAAATTTCTCTAAGAATTGCTTTTCGTATGCTTTGAAAACATTGGGTGGTTCGAGGACTAACACCTGTGGGAGCTCTTGGGGTGCGTGTTCTTGGTGTGATTGGATTTGGAGCGTCATGATTGAATGCTAAGAAGTGATCCAAAAAGGTCGATTTGTAAGTAACAGATTACATAGATAATGTCCACCAGACATGGGAGATTTTCTCTCTCTCTCTCTGGCTTTGGATTCCATTCTCCATTTTGACAAATCTTGGGAAGAAGACAACAGATTCCTACCCTAGTCGCAATCACTCCCCTCGGGTTCGATTCAAAAAGTATGGATAAAATATCAGGTGAATTGTATTTTGAACATGAAAGATTTTAATTTTTTTTTTATATTATCAAAAATAAAATTTTTCACATTATCCGATTAATGTATGAAAAATGTTAAAATGCGGCCTTCTATTAGTCTTTGACAGTCATTCTGTCATCGTCAATGAGGTCAATGAGGTGAATTTGATGAAATAAGTGTAACGCCTCGTTTTCCGGACACATTAACTGATTAAATCAATCGATTACAATAAATTATAAATATCTCCAAAGACAAAGGTTTAATTGTCTTAATAAATTTATAATCACAATTTTAATTTCCAAATATCAATTAAAATCTAAAAATTATATCAAGATTCATTCATCTTCGATTTCTTAAATATCAACTTTAATAATTTCCTCTAATATTATCCTAAAAAAAAATATTAAAAGCAAGTAAGTACACATTGTGACAAGAAACAATAGGCTCAACGAAAAAATTATGAATAATCAAATACCAATTAATTCAGATGATAAGGATCATAGATAACATAATCAAGAATTATACCGACAGGTCACATAGCTCAACTGTTATCAAACATAGTCTCATACTTTGTTCCTCTTGTTCACATGACAAATGATACTTGAACATATAAATTTATACTTATAATAACTAATCACACCCCAAAATCTAATCACAATCGCACTCCGCAGGGTTATAATCACATTTTACCAATTATATTTCAAATACACTTTGTACATATATCAATTAATTACAAAGTATTTAGCCCAAAAATATAGGTCAACCAATAAAATTGACAGAATTTCGTATCAATCAAAATAATCAATAAGAATACAAAATTCAGATAATAAAATGACGCTTTTTACAAAGATATTTAAAAGATAAGAGCATATTATATATTACCTCATACTTCAAATCACCAATGACTTCAATAGATGCGAAATTCGAAGTACCGCAAATCAAATAAGTAAATTTAGTTGTGATTTAAATTAAAATCATTGCTTAATTTTTGACCCAAAATCTCATTTGTTTTTCTTTCTCTCTCTTCTTTTTTTTTCTCTTCATTTCTCTCTCTCTTTCTCCTTGACTTCGTTACTGATCATGGATAGGTATTTATAGTGGAAAAGACTTAGACTCCAAGACTTTTACATCACTTTGTTGGTGTCAGATTATTTTGCATAGTTTAGGGGTTAAATTGATAAAATATAATTTAGGAGTTTAATTGACACAAATAATTTAATTTAATGTCTAAATTGGGAGTTAACTCATTTTTATTTTTTATTTTTGAATTTTAGTGGGCTGATGAGCCAGGCTGCCTTCGGAGGTTGCAGGCTCTTGACCAAGGTGGGCTAGAAAAAGGTCTACATCTCGACGCATTGGTCAATCCCATGGCTCTTTGGGCTTTTTGGGTGAGCCATGAGTCATTAGGCTATGGTACTGGAAAAAAAATATTGGTATTGNGAAAAAAAATATTGGGCCAGTTATTATTTTATATAATGTAATTATAATTTTGAAAGAAAAAATTATAATTGCTCAAGGAAGGTTATGAATGATCGATCACAAACGCTCATGATCAATCATGTCCTTTAAAATTATAACTTATACCTTAAAAAAATTATTATTTAACTTTAAAAAATTGTAACTTTTAATACCAATATCGCTGNTAATGTAATTATAATTTTGAAAGAAAAAATTATAATTGCTCAAGGAAGGTTATGAATGATCGATCACAAACGCTCATGATCAATCATGTCCTTTAAAATTATAACTTATATCTTAAAAAAATTATAATTTAACTTTAAAAAATTGTAATTTTTAATACTAATATCGCCGGTACTATAAAAATTCCCCATAATTGAAGTGTTTTCAGTGAAAAACTAGTGAAACATAACTTTTGTCGGGCCATGATTTACTTGAAACGAACCTAAAAGTTAATATGTTTCAAAGAAAAAGTTTATCGCAAAACCTGGTAAAAGAAGATGTAACAACGCATTCATTCANAAACATAACTTTTGTCGGGCCATGATTTACTTGAAACGAACCTAAAAGTTAATATGCTTCAAAGAAAAAGTTTATCGCAAAACCTGGTAAAAGAAGATGCAACAACGCATTCATTTATAAAAAAACTGGAGAAATTAAGGGCCTATTAGAGAAGAAAGCTTCCAAATTCTCCGATATAAGTTCAAACATATCCCTAAAGGATTCCTCCGTGAAAACAGAACAATGTGGTGACAATACAACATTGTCCAACACCAAAAGCTCGGTAGGAGCATTTGGCAAATTTTCGAAAACATCCAATCCAGCACCTGCAATCTCACCTTGCTCCAGACACCGAACCAACTCCTTCCCATCGACGATTGCCCCATGAGCAATGTTAATGACGATTCCTTCCCTTCCGAGTGCAGACAGTACTTCCTTACTGATCATATGTCGAGTTTCATCGGTTAATGCACAGCAAATGATCAAGATGTCACAATTAGCTGCCAGTTCACAGGCATTTGTGTAGAAAGGGAAGAAAATTTGATGGTTTCTTCTTCCTTGAGGTGTATGAGATACTGCAGCGAAAGGCTTCAAGCCTCTTTGCTACTTCTAAGCCAATGCTTCCCAACCCAACCATACCAATTCTCTTTCCTCCCAACTGAAAATCATCAATCACAATCAGTACATAGAATTAGCAAAAGACTTGTGGTAAACTTATCAATCATCATAACCTACATACACCAACTTAATAACCTTACAACGACTTCAAGCAATTGTTACTATTTCTATGTATAATATTAGGGATCAATGGGGTACTAAACATTCTTCAGCTGTAGACTCTCATGGAGTACTTTGATTGATTTTTTGGCAAACAACGGAGTAATCAATAATTTCAGTCTTTTATTATAGCCTATTCTATGTTTCGGTCTAGTACTAAACTAGAACTTCTACGAATGATTACCTTTTCTTTTTTGTGCTGGTTAGAAAAAGGTGAGAATAAGGAAGAGAGTCTGGTGACCGCCCCCCGTTAGGCCCTCATTGGTGGGATTATAAGGTCCCTGACCGCACCTGAAACATCTCTTGGGACTAGACCTAACTAGGTTAAGATAACGGCCAACCACCGAACCCTAATAGGGACTCTAGGATTCAAACTCCCATTTAAATCCACTACAACTAGGCAAGCAAATAAGACGTCTTATGCTCACCCAATTTCTCTTTTAATATCTCAAACTAACCTAAATTTTAGGAGTCACATGCCTAATTTTAAGAATCACAATCCAATGGACCCAAATCCTTATCCAAATTTGAGTAAAAAAAAAGATAAAAAGCTTAATTTGGTATAAATATCTCTATTAGACAAACTTTTTTTTTTAAAGGAAGAGAAATTCAAATTAAATAAAGATAAATTTTAATTTAAATGAAGATAAAATATGATCATTAGATCTTTAAAGGAGAGTGTAATCTCACCATTCACTTGATTTATGTTTAAAAAAGAATTTTATTTCGTTTGGTATGGGTATAGATCTAGTATAGGAGAAGATTTTTTAAAAAAAATTTACACCTTTTTAAAAAAGGGTTCTTAAAAAAGATAAGTATTAGTGATGGTCTAATAAACTCTACCAATTCCTTCCCACCAATAACTAGTTTTTAAGAAGTCCACACTAGGAAACCTCCTCCATTCCAATAATTAAGTTGAAATTTATGCAATCAAATATTTTAATTTTAAACTCACACTTCAATATCCAAAAAATATGAGCACAATCCCTCCTCTCGAAATCTTATGAAATTGGAGGATCCTCCAATATTTAGTAAGAGGCTGTCATTTTGTTAGTCGATGACATGACCTTTTTCTTCTACATATGATACGTTTTGTAACGATCTAATCAGACATACCTAGTCTTTAAAAGAAAAGTGAGGTCGAGTGAGTGTATCTTATTGTTAACTTCTGTAATGTATTCAAGTTGTACTTTAGAAAGCAATGATTTCAACATCCCCATTCCACACCACTATATCCATCTGTCACCATCACCACCTGAACCCCCTTTCAAACTAGAATTAACCATCCACATCCACCACCACCACCAATATCAAAACCCAACTTCACCATCAAACCTCATAATCTACAACCACATTTTGCAAAGAGAGCGCCATGCCACCTCGCCCAATCAATTACCAATTGCTTCGCTGTTAGGCCCATTTAGGTTAGGGGGCATTATTGTAAACTTTATTTGATCAAATAAATTAATCAAACCCTAATTCTAAGACCTAGGAAAATCATGATTTTTACATATTTATATTGCGGAATTAAAAACATCATAAGTTACATACCTGAAACCATTGATGTAAACCTTTGTGATTCTTGAACAAGAATAACAGTATTTGGTGTAGCATGAAAATACAATTTCTCTCTCCTATCCTTTTAACGTAAGATACACAAATCAATGGGACAAGTGCACATTTATAGGTAGAGAAAGGACCGGTTTCTTAGATCAACAAGAACTCCATTTCCCATCAAAGTATGATATTAGGAAACTACTATTTCTCTTTGACCAATCAGAAACCATCAGTTACCTGGTTAGTTTGGGATTGAGAACCTTGTTATTATCTTGACCTAACCACATCACCAATTAGTATATATCACATGTGCCAAAAATCATGTGGGCCACATTTAAGTCTTACATTCTTTCACTTGACTCACATGAATATCTTACAGTTGGGTCTAGTAAGGTTAACATACGCGCGCATTAAATCCAATCCGTCACTCCTTAATTTGGTCATCATAATACCACAATTAAACAAATCACTAATGTGAGTCATGACGGTCGTAC